AATTTAATGTCCTTCCTGTTTTTTCATAAAAAGAGCTGTAAAACTTTTTTCAAAATTTTCATCAAATTATCTTCTGTATACTGTTAAAAATGAAAAAATTATCATTGAATGCCAAGATGTTTGAATTATCTAATATATGAGGTTTAAAAGCAGGTCAAACACCATATACCAAACAGAAGCAAAATCTTTTTTCTTCATGAAAAGCCTTACTGCGGAATGTTTATATGCTATAGTTGAAAAAAACATTCTTGTACATTATTTTTGTGATTAGAATAAACAGTTACAGAAAGTTATTTAAACAGGAGCTCTCCCAAAGCAATTTTGGAAAAAATACTGGTAACAGTAAGGACTGGGTAACGGAAGGACAAAACAGTAACAGGATGGACAAAAAGTGTAAAGGATGGACAATGAAATCTACATTTTAAAAAAAAAATTGACTTTCTTTTAACTTTATTGGTTAGGAAAAGAGAAATAAATGTAGAAAAAAAAAAATGATTTTGTCAAATCTGGAAATTTGAGACAATAAAAGACATTTATGTCCATCCTTTTACGAAATTTAATTCTAAAGTGCTATTAAAATATCTATCAGTTCAATTTTTGTTTATTAAAGGTACTTTAAATGCTGTTGCAAAACTAAGAATTTTTCATTATTTTAAGAAAAACAAATTATGAAACTTAAATAGGTATATAAATACCAGGAAATTTGTCCCCCTGTTAAAATTTTTGTCCATTCTGTTACAAGAGTGAGTTTAAGTTATAATGGCACTTTTTGAAGCACTTATTTAAATTTCATAATTTACGAAGTTTTTTAACATGTGATTTTAAAACTTATATTCTTAGAAAAATAAAAATAATTGTTTTTATTGTTAAAACTCAAGATATGAAGTCCAGTTTTCCTTACTGTTACCATATTAATGGTAACAGGAATGACAGTAACAGGATGGACATTTTAAAAATAGGTTTTTTAGATAAGTATCTTTTTGCATCATCAAGACATTGAAAAGTTTCTTTGTAACTTTGTAAATCTGATTGTTTTAGCAGAATAAATAATTTAAAGAGAACTTGCATATTATGAAGGTAAAATAAAATATTTACATTATACTCTACCAATTAGACAAACTTATCGACCTTTGAACCCTTTCTTTACTCACTTTCAAATCATGGCGCTTATAAACTTGAGACAACAGAAAATGATGATATATTGTTGATCATGAAAACATTCCTAGGAAAGTGAGATAACTTTTTTTTTAACATTTTCTTTGTGGTAACAGGGATGACAAAACTAAGGACATGTCACTTCCTGAATGTTAAATGCACAATACTAGTATTTAGTGGGCGGCATAATAAAAAATCAATTAAATTAATCTGTAAATGAATTCAATTAATATGAGGTGCAAAATTTGTACATATCTTCACAGGGAAATTTTCCCTTTCATTTAAATAAGCGCGTTAAAAATTTTTTGTTAATGTGACGGTTTTACTGTTAAATTTTACTTGGAATGCAGAGAATATTTTTATAAAACACTTGGGAGATGATCATAAAAATAACTTATAAGCTGTATGACCATGTATATTAACCAACGGGAAAAAAAAATTCACTCTAAAAAAACGTTTTCCTATCATTCTGATCAAAAGACAAAAAAGTGGACTTTTTTTGAAAATGACCCATTATATGTAATCTTCTTGCAGACTAGAAAAGCTGAATTACCCATGGTCAAAGATTCAGTTTAGGATTCATAACATTCTAGTAATTTTGCCTTCGTTATGATTTGATGTTCACAAATATTCCATATATAATTTCCTAAATAACTTCAACCCTTTCCCTCTGCTAGCATGTCCCGTTTCCTTTTAGCTTAAAAAAATAATTCAAAAGTCAGTTTTAAAGTAGACATTCGGACAGTTTAAGGAAAAATAGCCATTTATTTTGTAAATAATGGTCTATAACAATTAATAGTAAAAAAGTCAGTTATCATTTGATGTAATGATGGATTCTATTTGCTGACAAGGTAAGTGTATCGACCACAGAACTTGCAACATAAAGGCTTTTAAAAGACTCTTGATATCCTTTTTTTATTGCCTTCTTTGTCAATGACTTTATTCTTAATTACTCATATGCAGAACATTTTCTTGCGTATCGATCAACTGAGAACACTACCCCCCATATGCATATGATAAGGATATATTGCTACATACAGGTAGGGGAAGTTGACAATTGAAAAGTTAGTCTTCTCTTTTATCATAAGGCGTTATTATTAGTTATCATTAACGTCTTTGCGTAATATAATATCCAAATAATAACAGATGTGTAAAGTCTCTATGTATTTTTTTATTTCTTTCATATATTTTTTTTTGCAAATTTTGCTTCATATGAATACAAAGATAGGTCTAGATCTGCTATAAATTTAGCGCAATTGATACATGGAAATTTTGGTAAATTGCTACAAGATCTGATCTCCAAAAACTTCATAGACATTAACAATCAGAAACTCAAGAAATTTTTTTAATTTTAACCCCAGATACTTCTGTGTACAATAGAGTGGTTTTCAACAATATAATTTTACAAATAACACTGACAATGTCATTTTGTACAATTTTCCATTTTGATTGAAAAGGATGTAATCAAAACAATCTGTCAAACAGATCATTACGTACATGTATTCAGGTACATGTTTGTATATTACTTTAAAGTTTTAATATCTAACTTTTAAAATTCTGTTTAATTCCCCCTAATTTCTCCATATAAAGTACAAAAATGATCTTTTCCCCTAACAAGCATTTTTTTGCTGCTAATTTGGGTTTAAAAAGGGGGTTTTTTTTTTTCAAATGATAGTTCATGAAGTGTTGTGGAAGTAAAAAATGTGTTGTAAGTAATTTTTAAATAGCCATTCTCTGTAACCACTTAACTTCGTTGCCACCCATGGCACCGTTTTTTGATGAAACTTCACCCATGCTTAGTACTTGACACCAGAAAAAAATTTTAAACAAAATTTCGTTGGCCATGGTTGGTTGCTATGGAACACCCGGAAATTGAAAAATTTTTGAGATTTTTAGCCACTTTAAATCTTGACTGTGGCTTAATAAAAAAAAATAGAAAAAAAAGGGAAAAAAACCATTCTCACAAAAACATGACACCTTGATGTCACTTATACTGTAAAGAAACTGTTTAGAATATATCTTTAAGTAAATTGGGTTTCCAAGGGTACATTTGGAATACATTTAAAATGCTGAAAATGCCGAAAAACACTCCTATTCACTAATGATAGGTGTTATAAAGTCAAAACCCAAACAATGACTCAAAGAAAAACAATGAAAATATTTGACCTTAAGTATTTTAGGTATAAACAATTTATTCTATAAATAACTTTTATGGTTGCCATGGTAACACAGTGTAACCATGCAAAACTAGTAACTAAGATTGGGTTAATGCTACTGTCTTGAGGAAAAACATGAAAATTAAAAACTTTGGCAAATATGCATCCTTAGGACCTTGCAACACCAAAACCATAAGAAAAATTGGGTATAATTATTACTTTGCAGTGTTACCATGGAAACAAAGTACCAGTGCTTAAAAGTGAATTATTTTTCGCTGTATTAAGAATTAAATTGCCATATAATCAAGGAACAAATTAAAGGACTCAGTTTGAATAGTAGTTGTCTGTTAGAACTGAAGTTGAATATCATATATTGATAAAATTTGATGAAGAAAACAACACTGTTGCTATGGTTACCAAGAAGGGAAAATGTTCGATTTTGTGAACTTTATATCAATATTAAACCCTGTGTGCCAACTTCTTGCATCCACTTAGAGATTGGATGATAGTCAAAATTAAAAGTCAGGTAAGCTGTTAATAAATATCAATCATAAAAGTTTTGGGAATCTACATTTAAGGGTACGTATCCAAGGAAAGAAGATATTTTTAAGGTTTTTAAGCATATATTTTCTGCTTATTTCCATAGCAACGCTCTACTTAAAGAATCTAATCTGAATTTTTTCAAAGGGGAAAACTAGGAGCACACCTACATCTTTAAAAATTGATCATTAGTTATAAGGAAATGTGCTTTTTTAAAAGATAGGATCAGATTTAAACATACAGAATGTTACTTTGAAGGCTCTCTGTGGTATAAAAACCTTGGCAACCATTGCCAACCAAAATGAAATATCATATTTTGTTCTTGGTATATGTTTCAAGGCTCTTTTTCTGTTATTTGGTCACATTTCGTCCAATAATTGCTTTTTATTTTTACGTGTATGACTTTATAAAATTCAATGAATATTTTTTTTAACTTTTGAATACATTTGTTACCATAGTAACGTTTGTAATAGTTGATTTACCAAACATGTTTATCATGCATTTGAGACATCTGACCTTCTAATTTTGGAAACAGTCATCGCCATATTTTGCTTTGCCGCAAATGTTAACTATGGGGCTCTAAACATGTTAAAAATTGCCATTTTTCGAACTTAAAGACATGTTGCCATGGTAACTATAGAGCATAGCAACCAATTTTTGCCTGATTTCAGTTTAGGGTATCAATGACTTTTCTTATAGAGAGTTTGGAGAAATTCTGAGACTATGCGTGCCACAGCTCCTATATAAAATTTCAAGTCATTACAGAGAATGGCTCTTAAATATCAGGTATGAATTTTATTTTTGAAAGTTCATGAGCAACATGTACTACAAAGCACTTCGTGAAATATGCAGGCGTGAAGCGTCATGAAGTTTATAACCTCTGATTTTTCGAAACTGAAATGTCTTAATTGACGAGCGAGTATCTAATTTATCATTATTTTTGCACACGTTTTGTACAATATGCTTCGTCGCCAACCGAATTAGCAAATCAACACTAAATGGCATTCAAAAATCTATACACGTAGTACTTTATTTTAGTGCAAACTTGCTCTTAAAAGTTCCTCGAATTCTGGCAAATGTCCAACTTCCACTGAGGACAGATTGAAAACTTTAAAACTTTCTGATATTCACTGGACACAAAGAGATTTATTAAACTAGAAAACCGGAAAAAGTTGTAATGGGTATTCCCTCGCTGTAATAATTTGACCCACTATGGCATCTTGCCCACACTCTGTCTCCTTGTTGGAGATTTAGAGTCATCAGGTTGGATCCAGAATCGTAGAAATCTTTACCCCGTCCCCCGTCAGACATTGTCATTACCTTGGCTCCTCCGTTATGTACAATAGATACATACAATGTGTCACTGCTATAGCCCTGAGCACTAATGTAAAAGACGTACTGTCCAGCTGTAGGGGCGGTAAAGATCCCTGTACTTGGGTCGTATTCACCTCCAACGTTATTGATGACCACAGGAAATACTAGTGTACTTCCGCTTCCGGTACCTCCCGCACCTGTCGTACCAGCTGTAAAGGCAACATTCTTTGACGAGTCTAAAAAATAGAAATAATGTCGAGGTAGTTATCGTATAGAGAAATCAGTGCTATAGAAAAAAATCATTGTATTCCACAATAGGGAAAAATGGTCATTATATATTGTTCTTAATGGGCTTTTACGAGAAGCGCTGACTTTTACAGTTGACGAGTTACGCTCACACTAGGACAGAGTGTGAAAGCTCTTTCACGATATAGATATTAAGCTCAATATTCAATTCAACGAAGATAACGGGCTATTTCAAAGCACAGAAAAGTTGTCCTTGAAGAAAATGACAACCATCCTACCTTCAAATCCAGGCCTTTACACATAAGTGCCCCTAACACCATTACTATGACAACTAGAAAGGTTTTCTTATCCTCTAACAATTCCGGACCGCCGTTGATGTAGATGCTCAGGTTTAAATGTCCAAGTAAACAGTCAACTGTAAAGTCAGTGCTTTTCGAAAAAGTCCAGTAAGAATACCAAATAATTGTTTCAATGAAAATTCCATGTTAAGATTAATAATATATTCTTTTAATAGCACATTTAAATATCTAAAAATTAAAACAACGTGTCTTTTTGATAATCGTCATGTTTGAACTTGTGGAGTTTAATCAGCAATTCTTGATGGATATTCATTTTTAGTATAATGACAAGATGAAGTAACATTTTATATCATAACTGATTATATATCGATATATTGGTGTTCCAGAAGGAGAATATGATTACCTACCCTCAAATCCTTTTAACAAGTTCTGATTTGCATTGATGAGGTGTTCCACTTTCTTTCTCAGATCTGTATTTGATGAAGTTAAGCTATCAATCCTCTTCTCAGTCAGAATTATGTATGTAATGAGAAAAGCCAGAAATACACCTAGAAGAAGCTTCTCTTAACATGTCGATAACGGAATAGAATTTCAAGTTAGGTCTAGTTTTTGATTGTTGGACATTTAAATATCCAAAATATTTACATAATACATACAGGATCCCAGATTATTCTTCGGGACATTTAAAACGATTTGGACGGTTTCTATACTATTGTTTACAAAGAACTGTAATCGAGGAAATTGAACAATACTTTTTCAAAATCAAAATTTGCTACGTCCTGCATTTATAACCCTTCCTCTGTCCAAAACTCAAAAATTGCAAATAACCAGTATCTATTACTAGTTGTTAATACAGTCAATAATTTTTATAACAAGAGGACAACGAGGTATTGTTTACATATTGAACCAAACTTCTAAGTACTGGCCTAACATTTTAAGTTTATAAAGAACAAATACATATACATTCAATAAATATTTTCTTTAAATCATGATTAATGAGGCATATTTCAGATCGATGTTGCGTAATTTTCATGTAAGTATCTCGTCAGATTTTTAAGCAAAGCGTCAAGGATATGATGTACCTTCAAAACGGAAAATTCACATAAAATAATTTCTATGGAGTGAGACCACCACTAGCTCTAATTAATGAAAGACACCCTATTTTCATGATACAATGTACCCCTGAATAAGAGATTGACCCATCTGCTGCCACACTGCAAGGATTTTTCTAAACCGTTAAAATTGTGTGGAGGGGGTTAAATTCCCCTTAAAAATCCCAAATGTGTGCAACTGGATTCAGATCCGGGGTTTGGCAGGCCAGAGCATAACAAAGATGCCTTTTGGTCAATACTCTTGGGCATTTCGCACGTAAGTGTCCCTCTTTAAGGATGCTTCAGAGTGTTTAAGAAGATATTGGAATGCCATGAGCACCATTATGTTGCCATTTTCTTACCGTTGAAGTTGTTGGTCTAAAGTAGTACAGGACCATGTAATAATCTTTTAATCTAGTTGTGACGCGAAACCTTGACCTCAGACAAAGATCCAAATCACTACCGGTTAGATTAAACTTTGTTTTACAGATCATTTTCAGACCTTCAGACCTTTCAAATCGTGATAAGTTTGCGATGAAAATGACGCACAACCTATAGAAAAATATGTTTTAATTGGTTTTTACCGAATACTGGCTGTTAATTTTTTAAAAAGTAATATCGAGGAAAAAATAAACACTGAAATAAAAGTGAGTAAAACGTGTTGTAAGAATGATCCAGATAGCATCATTCCAATGGCTATCCCTCCTTCCTCAATGGTCAGTTTGCCCATGTTTTGTGCTTTTATAGTTAAACCAGTTTTACCAAATTGATAATGCACAAAAAGATTCTGATTCTGATCAGATTTCGGATTTTTAGATCGATCAATGTTCGATATCTGTACCTTTTACATTACTGAGTATAAAAGTATGGGGAATATGTAAATTCGTTCTTGGTTGTTTTTTTTTTTTTAAGGAAAATATATTCGTTATTGAATACATTAGGAAAAGTTCATGAAAATACATCCTGTGATATTTCATCTATAAAACAAAAAAGTAAGTCTCCGCATCATTTTTCTTAAAAGGAACATTTATTAGCTATGGCAATATGAAAACTATAAGATAACTAAAAGTGATCGATCTCCATTTAAAACAACAATACTGATTTGTGAACAGAGCAGAAAACAGATTCGTCGAGAAACTTTGGTGGAAGAATAAGGTACCTATGAGGAGTTAGCATTCCCTGTCGACCGGTCAAACTCGCCTGGACTGTTTTTGTATTGATTAAGTAGACCAAGTTATCTGTAGTCAAATCTAAACTTACTCTTAATTAATTTTACAAATAAACTCCGAAAAGTTGCACTAAAGTTCATACATACTCCTCTATTAATATTACAATGTAAATATGATTGAAAGACTACTGTTTTCGATAAAAAGCAGTGACTAAGCAAAACAGAGATATGGTGGCAAGTTACTTGCAATTCTTCATAAAACTGACAACAATTATCATTTGAAAAAAGGCTATTAGCATTTATTCAACTGAAACATGATTTAAATGATTGTGAACAAATAAACTGTGGTAACTATATAAAAGACAAAATGAGCAAAATCAAAGATTGTGAGGTTTCAATCCAAAATATTTTAAAAAGTCATTTTCAGACCTTATTAGTTCCATTTTCAAATAATCTACAAAACATAGCGATATTTTGATATAAAAAAAATTTTCTTTTATAGCAACCTTACTGGACAAAGTTTTTATACTAAGGCCGGTGAAAATATGACTCCGAATGAGTTATATTGAATGTAGACTATGAGGATCTGGACTAATTTATATTAGGGAAACCAAAGGTTTACTCAACAAGAGAATATCAGGCCATAGGTTTGAATTATATGCTAGAGTGTTCCAAGGAACGCATGTGTCGCCTGCTTTTAGCTTATTTAAAGATGTAACTAAATCTAAGAGTGGTCAGCTACTTGTATGCTACTAGTTCTAAAAGAGATAATCTAAGACAAATTCTGAACATATATACTTACTTATCTCTCAAACAAAATGAACATGTATTCAACATTTTTCAATCTTTTGTTCTTACACATTCTTTCTTACTCTATTTGTTAATGAAAATTGACTTATATGATTTACAGAAAATGTTTGCCTGATTATGACTTTAAGTTGTATATTCAAATATCTTGAGACAAAATTACATTCTGATTTTTAATAAAAATAAACATGCGATATACACTAGATTTATTGTAAAATAATTTAATTCTGGTTGTAAAGATGTATTTGATTGAATAAAAAAATTATTTTATATCGTATAAAATGGGTTGCCTACGTCACAATGACGCGCATCAAAAACGTATCAATCCGCCTGACGTTACATTCAAATTGTGTACAAACTGAAGTCAGTTAGTTGGAACAATCATCTTTTTTTCTTACATCAATTGAATGAAAAGTAAATTATAAGGAATGAATTTAATAGCTACCCATTTTATACGGTATAAACTGGGTTGGAACAGTTTACGCTTTTTTATAAACCCTTCGAGGTTTATAAAGCGTAAACTGCCCCAACCCAGTTTATACTACCGTATAAAATGGGTAGCTATTAAATTCATTCCTTAAATACAATTGTTAAAAAAAATATTGACTAAATGAAATATATAGAGAATTAAACATACCCTTTTCCATATCACATCCTGAATTAGCCCGAGTCACCAATATCAGCCAGAGAGCCGAAGGCCCGAGGGCTGATATTGGTCGAGGGCTGATATAGAATGTGATGTGGAAAAAGGTATGTTTTAATATGTTTATTACATAGTTAGTAATAAAATATACAGAACACATTAAGTGGAGATGAAAATAAGAAAATAATCATGCACAGACTACATGTACACGGTCGGTCTGTTGTCTTATACGGTTTGGGTTTCTTTGTACATGTATACACTAGATTTTTACTAAAGGTGTGATATTGATCCGTATCAGCCCTGCAGGATTCGTGAAAATGATGACAACAACCTACATGACTACAGTATCAACTTATGATTATGAACTTCCGACACGAAGCATTCATAAAATGTTTAATAATATTCTCTTGTCGAAATAAGTGACAATTTCTTGACAAAGATTTTCATAATTCTGTCACTTACTAAAAAGTACAAAACGAGAGGCTCTGCCGAAATAATTCAAGCTATAACAGGAAACCAGAGAAGGTGGTTATAGGGCCACTGCTGTAATAACCGTTACCAAAAGGTACTTAGTAGCTGAGTTTATTACTATATATATCTTGGTAATTGCAGCGCCAGATTATGTGGAAATACTTAGACATTGTTTTTATCAGCAATATCAGTGGATATCAGCGATTAAAATATATCCAGCTACTTCAATAATATCAACATTTGTATTACAAATTTCATAATTTAACATAAAAGGTACTATTAGCTGAGTTTATTACTAACGATATCTTGGTAGCTTCAGTACCAAATCATGTGGAAAAGCTTAGTTTTTATCAGCAATATTAATAGATATCAACTAAGTAAAAATCCGGCTACTTCAGTACTATGAACATTTGTATCCCAAAATTTCACACTTTGACACAAATGGTACTTGAAGCTGAGTTTATTACTAACGATATCTTGGTGATATTAGCGCCAGATCATGTGGAAAAAATAAGAGATATTTTTTTATAAGCAATATCAGTGGATATAAGCGATAATATCATCCATGTACTTCAAGAATATCAACATTTGTATCCCAAAATAGCATAATTTTACACAAAAGGTACTAGAAGCTGAGTTTATTACTATACGAGGGTCGTTAGAAAAGTTCGCGGACACATTGAATTACGGAAAATCTGTTGTGTACTGTGAAGCATGACCTATGTCTGAATAAATTCCTACATTTTGTTTATTGGTATGTAAAAAATCAGGTTCATATTATAAAATCTTGAAAATTTACAACGATTTTTACTATGAGGTCATGGGATTCACGGAGCAATCACTTGACGTAATGCGACATGACAACCAGATTTCAACCGGTTAAGCTTTGTCGCAGTTCTATAAATCTTTCATTTCTTCAGATATTTCTTATCTTTTTTCTACTTTAAAATTGAATATCTATAGCAAGATATGTTAATTTTCTACTATAATGTCTTTTGTACTGATTCGGATATTATTGAGATCTTAAAAAGTCAATGCAGTTAATCGACCAGGTATGGAAACTATGCAAAACCATATAGGCACAACGTCCATGCGGGTATTGAAGTATCGATGGAGTTAATCATTCAAAATGTTAATCCTTCCATTCTTATAAAGCTACAACCATTTGAAAACTTTTCCTTTGTAGGTGTAGGAAATTCCCGGCAACATCTTGAACATTTTAATCTCTTTTTAGACATTTTCCAGTCTGCATACACAATTTTTACGTAGTGCAGTGCTCCACGAGGCTCAATGACGTTTCGAATTTTGGCTGTGTTTTTACGCGTTGATCGATCATTTATAAACGGCTTTAAAACAATCATATACCCTCCAATTTAGTTCAAAATGTCTCCCAGTGACGTTTCATGAATACTTTAGCGGCAGGTAAAATATCATGAATCTCTTTGCGCTACAGTTGTGAAATTTTTAATTTTAATAAAGTGTCTTTGTGATGTAAACGTGCCAAAATGTATCATGCTCCGTGAAGCAAGTTTTATCAAAATAAAAAAGCTGTATATTTTTCATTAATCACCGGAGAGCACCAAATTCTTGTATATTTATTAGAAAAAAGGTAAAAATTTTATCTGCCAAGTTTGACCGGTTTTGTTGATATAGCGCGCTCACAATAGAACTTGTCCGCGAACTTTTCTAACACCCCTCGTAGATATCTTGGTAACCTCATTGCAACATTCTGTGTAAAATCTAAGAGATTTTACACAAAAAGTACTAGTAGCTGAGTTTATTTCTAAAGATATCTTGGTAACTTTAGTGCCAAATATCGAGAAAAGCTTAGAGATATTTTTCATCACTAATATTAGTGGATATCAGCGATATAAAATTCCAGCTACTTCATGATTATCAACATTTGTATCCCAAAATTGCACAATTTTACATTAAAGGTACTAGTAAGTGAGTTTATTACTAACGATATCTTGGTGATATCAACGCCAGATCATATGGAAAAGCTAAGGAATTGTTTTTATCAGCAATATCAGTTGATATCAGCTATGTAAAAATCCTGTTACTTCAATACTACAACATTTTATCCCAAAATTGCAAAATTTTACATAAAAGGTACAAATGGCTGAGTTTATTACTAACGACATCTTGGTGATGTCAGCGCCAGATCATGTGGAAAAGCTAAGACATTGTTTTACCAGCAATATCAGTGGATATCAGGGATGTAAAAAAAAATCCAGCTACTTCAGAATACCCACATCTGTTTTCCAAAATAGAATAATTTTACACAAAAGGTTCTATAGGGTTTAAGTCATTTACTAGTAGCCAGTTTCTAGTTGCCAACTTTACCCACTTGTCGTAGCCAGTTACTAGTAGCCAACTTTACTTACTTTTCGTAGCCAGCTACTAGTAGCCAGTTACTAGTAGCTAACTTTACATATCTACCACCATCAGATTAATTAATATCCTCGTTAAGGACATGTGTGTAACAGATAATGGTGATGTTTTTTTTACTGATGGCAGTAACAATTCCATCAGCTGTCTGTCACTATCGGGGTCTGTCTCTTCGGTCATCAGTACGGATCCACTGGGTCCAATGGGAATATGTTCGTTAGTATATGGGGGAATGTCTTGTCATTCAAAATGTTTTGTTCTCATGTCTTATCTAATAAGTTTTGTTTACTTTTACTTCTTTATAATCAGGAAATTATGCACATATTTCCACTTTTATGATACAAAAGGCTTACTAAGTTAGTTGCACTAAATGTTTTAAGTCCTTTCTGAATTTACTCTGATTTTGACTTCCTGCACTAGTAAAATATTGAACTGAACATTTGGTCATAACTCTTGCTAAAGAAGAGACAAAGCTTTCATATTTTTTTTCATGTGTGCATTACTTGTGAATGGACATTTCTGCTATTTGATCTTCTGACCTTTAATTTTTTTTGTATAGATTTAAATACCAAATTAGGGAAGTGTAATTGAACAATTTAAAATAATATTCAAAAAAACTACAGATGGCTTCGGCAGCTGGCCATGAATATTAATACTGTGTACTCTAGAAAGGAACACCTCAAAAAGTGATTTGATATCGGACGTCTACATGTGTACCCCAACTCTTAACCTTTTATCAAATTGCCCTCAGATTTTCAGGAACAATGAGCAAAGTAAATCTCAGTAATTCTCAACACTGAAAGCAAATCACTGTATTTATCATACTCAGTAATAAAAATATAAAAAGTTGCATATTGTTTACGTTGTATTGATCATTTTTTGTGCAATTTGACTTATCAAAATAATTTCTTACTAGATATGAATCACTACGATTTTGCATTCTGGCTCCATTGACCGTTATAATAAAATTACCTATTATTAATATAACTTTCTATAGTGCATGGATTAAAAATGAACATTTTTAATCATCAAAGCACTTTTGAAGAATTTTCGCCTTCTGGTCCCATATTGGAAAGGTCACTCAGTCCTTTTTTTCTCGTAATCAAATGAAAGCCCTAAAATTTTGAACACATTTGCTAAAAAATATTTTAAAATTCCTCTTCATTTCTTTTGTACGATTCTGCCAGGTACTTTTCTTTTCTTTTTTTTTCATTATTGATGATACATTAAAATTTTTTCCATATCAATGTTATTAAATCCCATGACCAGCTATATTGATTGAAATTAAATGTAGCAAAAATAACAATCAACAAAACTACGTCTGCCTTTACTACAATTAATTATATTTCTTTTCTTTAAAATTCACAATCTGCACAAGATACAATGAAATAATACGCAAGAATGCTGCATTTTTTTTTTTATAAAATTGATGCTAGGACAAAGTCTAACTTGAAGCAAATTAAGTGAGCATGTGGAGACATATTTTTTTTATTGATGCTGTACTTTATTTATATACACAGCATTGTTGTATAGCCAATGTTCATTGTAAACATACTGAGCTTGTTACAAATTTAATTATAAGAGAAAACCGGAGAAAGTGGCAATTGGGGCACCGTTATAACCGTTACCAGACTGGTGTCTGACCCACACTGCGTCTCCCTTCTGAACAGTCAGCACCACCAGATTGGGACCCGCGTCGTAATAATCAGGATTGCCACTATAACTATAGGCCATCGCTCTGACTTTTGTTGATCCATTCAACACAATGTCTACATAAATATGTTGTGTACCATAACTCTGAACATTCACGAAGAAGACGTACATCCCGGCGGTAGGAGCAGTAAATATTCCGTTACTTGGGTTGTATCCATTCCCTTCATTTGTGATAGCACGAGGAAAAACGAGCGTTCCACTGTTCCAGGAAGAACTGCTGGAGGACACTGAGGCAGAAAAGGCTACATTCTTTGACTTACCTACAAATACAATTGACTGGATTGATGTTAAATGTCCCAAATCATTCAACTCAAGATGTAAGGTTTTTAAATTATTTCAAATTGTGTTCGATCAATAAAAAATATTAATTATTGGAATTGGAGGATTTTTAAAAGAATTACAAATTTGAAGTTTCGTTCTCCTTTCCTAGGAAAACCTATGAATTTGCCTTTCTTAAAACACAACTCTTGTCATCATCTGTGATTAAATGAACTTGAATTAAGACTACGGCAAATGTGATATACTAGAATGTGCAATCGGTCATTCATATTCATCATTATATTCTCTCTCTCTTCGTTCGTCCTAATATGAATTATTGAAGTGCTTAATGAATAAATCACAACACATTTTAAGTAGGTAAGCTGCTCACTAGTGATTTATTTAATTATATATTGCAAACACATAACCGTTTTAATAAATACAACTGTATAGCCCAAATTCATTGCACTCAGTTGCATCACTATCAGCCTTACTACATGTAATCTTGAAATCCTAGCGAGCGAGCTTAGAGTGCCGTGCTACCGCATGATCTTACTATTTATACCCTATATAACCACGTGACTTTTAAAGAAAACTTTTCTAACACGCTAAATAATACCATTCCGCACATACCTGGTAATTTTAATTCATATGATGTTAAAAATGATATTGCATAATAGCTGAATTTTATCATTTATTATAAGGAACTGATGATAAAATTACATTTCTTTAATAAGAATAATTGCATGTTTTACTTCATATCTAATAAATGAATTCATGCCCTGTATTTTGCCCGAAACACTAATGTCAGCATAATGTCTAGAGCCCGAGGTTTGATACTGGTGACTCAGATTAATACAGGATACATGTATGATAAGAAGAAGATCACCTGTTAAAACCTCTCTGTATTATTTAACTCATCTCTTTATATAAAATATTCTTATTTTAATTACTGGATTATTACCAGACATGTTATTCGTCACATTCATTCGGAACACCTCTAGAGACGACACGGTAGTAGACAGTTGCAATTGGTCATACTTAGATTGTTTGACTTCCGCCATCAGCTCGTCTAAGGTTTTATTGATGTCGACTGAAATGCAAATATATGAGAAATATTTTTTTAATATTTCCTTGATATACGTAGGAATCCCTCTCTGAAATTATTCAAAACAGTTCACGTCCACTGAAAATGAAAAACAATTGACATTGATAAACATTTCTTAATAGCACCAAACATCAGATCACTTAACAAAATATTAAAATAACTAGAGCCGAGCTCGTTGCAAAGCAACGAGTAGGTCTTCCGTCGGAGCTGCGGACAGAGAGAAATGACCTTGAGTCAAGGTCATGCCACGTTCTAATTTTAAAGCAATCTTTTAAGGGTAGATATCATCTTATTATGTTTTACTATAAATTAATGTAACTTATAAGGAAATTTTTTCGTCATTGTAAATCATTGTCAATTCTTAACATTTGAAACCTTGACCTTGGAGAGGACTTATATAGGCCATGCCTGATGTCCAATCCAATTTTGTAATCTTACTTACATAATAAAATATTGATTAAATTAAATTAAATGCCACGTTCTAATTTTAAAGCAATCTTTTAAGGGTAGATATCAACTTATTATGTTTTACTATTAAAAAAAGGATAGTAAAGGAATGTTTGCGACCTTGACCTTGTCAGAATGACCTTGGGTCACACCATGACACACGCTGGTGATGAGCATATCCCATTTGTGTGCTACCGTATTGACAAATTCACACATGTTTTTTCAAACAATGCATCCAGCCAAAATATCTTATCATAAATGACCTTCAATGAGATTCAAAGCCATAACACACTCTGCATGATTTAAGGCATACCTTTTGTTTAGATAGGCCTTGTCACAGCTAATATACATGTGTAAAAAGTTATGGTCAATTTTAAGCAATGTTTGAATTTTGGAAAAGCCGGATAAACTTCAAGGTCAAAGTTCATGATATACTAGTATTTGAAATGATTTTATCACAGGTTACGTACATGTGATGTTTGTGTAATATGAAAGCCTTATCTCTTCTCATTAAAAAGTTATGATCAAGCCTCAAGGTCAAGTTGTCAAAAGTCAGTGTACTAGGTATTTAGAAAAGAGTTGTCTTAGGTAATACACAGGGATAAAATAAAAGCCCTGTCTCTTCTCATTCAAAAGGTATGAGTATTGTTAATGTTTTTGAAAAGCAGGTCAAACTTCAAGGTCAAAGGGTAAAAAATCAGTGAGTTTTTAAAGGTATTGTCACAGTTAATACATTTTTATAAAATGGAAGCTTTCAAAAGTTATGGTCAATTTAAAGTAATGTTATTTTTTAAAGTAGGTCAAGCTCCAAGATCAAGGTCACAGGGTCAAAAATCACAGTATATTTGAAAATCAGATGTCATAAATAATGCACATGTGAAATATCAAAGTCTTATATCAACTCATTCAATAGTTATTATCAAGTTTAAAGTTCAGATGGACAGACTGGCTGACGAATAAGGTTTAATGTTCCCTAAAAAAATAAATACATGTAATTCGAACAAGATAAATTAAGAAATACGAATAATAATAAAAAAAAATTAGAAAATATTAGAATATAAATCAGGTTTCCTACATGAGATTTCCTTAAAGACTTATTATAAATACATATTATTCAAGTACATGCAAAACATATGCATGTACGTTGGAGGTTCAAGACGCGGAAACCGGTCATTTCGATGAGAACGTATACACAACTGTCTCGTTACGGGGTAGGTGGTGTCATAAAAGGATTAAATTCGCCTGATTCCACCTCTGATTTTTTTTTAAGTCAGTCTTTGCGCTGCTAGTGCTTTATATTGTTTAAACAGAATTTAATTTTATGAAAAGAATTATTTTTAATGCTTATTTTTGACATATGCTTAAATTATTTACCTAATCAATTTGAGTTTAAATAGTAAAAAGGAATTTGTCACTCAGTATTTATCGGTCCTGCGGATGAGACCGTATAAGCCGAGGCCCCGTGTCACAGCAGGTGTGGCACGATAAAGATCCCTCCCTGCTCGAAGGCCGTAAGTGCCGAGCATAGGCTCAAATTTGCAGCCCTTCACCGGCAATGGTGACGTCTCCATATCAGTGAAATATTCTGGAGAGGGACGTTAAATAGTATACAATCAATCAATCTAAGGAATTAGTGTCAATCCTCTACATCAAAGAGCGTCTGACTTGTATGCATGATATAAATTGCGTAAATGTGTTAATTGAAATTTGAGTGAATCCCGTATGTTGTGTGAGAGAGTCAGTTTTGTACTGGACATTCCATCATCAAGAAAATATAGTTTTACTCTGGACTATTCCGAGTTACCAAAACGTTTGTGTGTGTGTCTGTGTGTGAGCTTTACAACCTGTCTTTGTTCTCTGTGACTTGATTTGATTTATTTTTCAAAATACAAACTTTAACTTTTTATTGCTTGACTTACGTTTAATAAATTTTCATCACAAGTTCACTTGTGTTACTTTAACCAAATATATTCTATTAAATTAATGATTCCATCGTCTTTGTTAACTTTAAATTGCTAGAAATATAGTGTAAAAATCCAGAATGAAATAAAGAATGTTAAAAATGACATTATTAATTGTCGGAAATGCAATGCAAAATTCCGGAAATAAAATGCATTCATTTAATTTTCGATTTTCATGAGAATTGGAAACGTCACTTCCACTTACAATTTACTGTTTATTTGTATCTGCTAATTTAAACAACATCGCAATTTTTTCTGATATAAAGCAATTAGAATAACTTGATATAGGCCCGTATACATGTAACGATTGCGGGGAGACGGGGCCTAAAAAATTCTTGTACTACATGTGTACCTTTCCAATAATAGAATCATCCTTACAAATCAAAAACATGTTGCAGTATTGATATCCCCAATTTTTTAAATAACGAGACTATAATGGACTTCACAAGGGTAGAATTTAACATTAATTTATGTACATGCGCAATTAAAATCACTATCAAAATTGGCAGAGTGATCGATAGGTCATCCTGTGTCACCTATCAGTGTAACCAATGAACTCGTCCAGATACCTGAGCAGCAGAGAAAAGCAGCACATTTTATTCATTCGTCAAAGAAAAGAATCCGACATTTAACACTTTTAAATCTTTGAATACACATACACGTTCAAGAAAACCTTTATATTTGTGTCTAGAAATATTCTTACGATTAACGCAAATAATCTAGGACTCGAGTAAAAATCAAAGAGCGGTACTGTTGACCTCATGAATGTATATAGGTCAATGTGCGATCGATGAACGGCTTTCATAACAGTACACACACACAACAGTCAGGGTCCGCGGAAAATTCACGATGCATGAATTAAATGACAGTGAATTATCTTAACAATGCTTAAGCTTGAATTATTTTTTTTATAAATAATAATGATAATGCTACATTGAATATTAATCGAAGGAAAGATGATAAGTATTTTCCCCCTCCCCCGTCTTGTTATTTAAACTTAACACAAGGAGAAAGTTGTCTCTGAATAATCTGTATGACATCCAGCTAGAGAATACGTTAAAAACTTATTTAAACAAAGTTAAACATTCAATTTAGCTATAGGTATATTATTCTTGTCCACCCTATTACATTTATTTCAGTTATATACGTGTTATACGCATACGCACATAGAATTCTTCTTCACTTGCCGTATAAAATCACTTACCTGTACATGGATTATAAAGTTTTCTGCTCATTTAATAACACATCACTCGTACAAAATAACGTTTTCATGAGATCAATAAGATGTTAAAGAACCCATTTCATATGATAACCATATCGAAATATTTACCGTTTTTGAGTTATAGAGCAAAACTTTCAAGGTCTTTCAAGGTCCGTAAATCCCTAATTTGAGGGGCCAGCCCCTTTTTAATGATGTCAAATGATAGATCTTAAAATTATGCACAATATTTGTTCAACATGTCTTAACAAATTATTTTTAGTTTAAAAGATACATATGGAAATATATGTCAATTTTTGCGCTTTAAGGCATTCTCATTTTTGACCCCTATCTAGCACCGTTTTGAGGACAGAAATCGAAAAAGAAAAAGCGATGTGCACAACTTCAATTCTTCTAGTATTTGAATTCAGTAGAATTTCTGCTCCAGCTTTTGTCGTTTCTGAGCCTTTGTCTGGAAACAAACAGTACCAAATTTTCATTTAAAGGGAAATAACTCGAAAGCGGAAGATAATTTTTGAAAACATTCTAATTGAGTTTTGTAACGTTTAAAAACTCTGAAAATTTGAGCGAAATCCGTTAAGAAATGAGCGAGTTACGAGGTCTCAAAGTTGGCGTCTAGGAAAAAAAAAGAATAATAGGAATAATCTTAACCATCAGAATCAGTAGAAGGTCTTCCGCCTGAGCAGAAGACCTTAATTATTACTTTAGTCATTTTGAATCCAAAACGCCCATGACGCAAGTTTTTTTTCACTTCCATTTCAGCAAAATAAAGAAATTCACTGAATGGTAAAGGACAGCGGTATCAAAATTTATGTAGAATAGAAAATAGTTCCTAAAAAAAGTGTTCATTTTATACATGTAACTCTTCTCCATATTTAAAAGAAGATGCAACTTTATCTTTAAAACATAGGCCTATAACATATGTAACACAGCAGAAATCCTTAGAGAAAGGATCAAGTGGTAGTGTACTAACAAGAAAACGGTTTTGTCCAATACATTTTCCAACATATGTTTTGTATGGCTACATTAGATATTTTCTTTCGATTGATTCTACACTTCTTTTCTAACATGAACCTAAAAAAACTTGACTTGCTTCTTAATATAAAGAAAAAATACACAAATGAAACGATGAACTAAATTATTTTCTTTTTACGCCTTTATTTTTTTCCAAAACAAAATCTTTATGTGTCATTTAAATCTTAAACATGAAATGTTCTTTAAATTTGGAAAGATAATTGATACAAATCAAAAAGAAAATAATCAACTTACCAGATATAGAATTTTGTATGATATTTTGTGAGTTTTCGAGGTTAGACAGTGATTGAAGCATTGTTTTATTTGTTGCAATTATATCATTGTTCAAGTTCTCCACAGAAGTGTTCAATCTCAAAGATATTTGCTCATATTTTTCCTGCATCATTTCAGGAAATTTTTTGTCAATTTCCAAAGTATGTTTATTTAAGTCCAGAAGGGTAACTGACAGGTACCGAACTTCCACTTTAAAATCTGCAAGTACATTGCTAGTGTTTGTCTCGAAACGTTCTCTTTTCTCTTCCAGTTGTTCCACAACCTGTTGAATGTATTCGTCGACTTTGGTGAAATTTTCTGTAACAGCTCTGAAAGTTTCTTCATATCGCCCGTTTTCAAGCTCAAGTCTTTGGTTTTCTCTTTTCAGTTTTTCAACCTCCTGTTTTAAGGCGGTCACTTCTACGTCTGTTTCCTGCTGGGATGTTTCCAATGTCTCCATATTTTTCTTCAGATCCAGCATGTCCTTCATTAAGGCGTGTACGTTCTTCACCAGTGACATTCTGATGATTGTTTCTTGGTTCAGCAACTGTCGGAAGACGTCCGTAGTTTTGGATTCCGAATCACTGATGTCCAGTAAAGATGAACTGTTGCCACTGCTGTCTGTGAATATAGACAATCCATTTATTTGTATGAGAAAAGCAAGCAATAACGTAAACAGTAGTGCTTGCTTCATCTTGAAAATCTGAGAAGGGATAGCGGACCAAGAGAACATTTAGCTTTATATACATTTGCATATAAACTTTGACCTTTTCTATTGCATGACACATGCGCAAGATGAAAATTCGTTAAAACATGAGTTGGCAAATATTAAAAACTGTTTTCGACTCTTACTGACGTAAGTTAACTTCCTCTTTAATGTTTTTGCTCTTTTTAATAATTTTAATAATAAAGTTAAAAGAAATTCTTCTAGAAGTAAAATCCAAATGAAGAAGAGTTGAAATGTACGTTTATCTGTTTAGGTCAATAGAAAAAGCATCTACACGTATTACGAAATTTTCTTAACTATTAAAAATGTTTATTTTTCATTGATTTTTCAAAAAAAAATTATTTTATTTTGGAGTCGGAGTTGGGATGGGTGTCTTTTCATTTTATAGAAAAAGGGAAGTTTATCCCTAAATATATGACTGCTTGTTTATTCATTGCTTAACGAAGCCCGATCTACTTGATCTGCGCGTACGTTTTAAAGCAGCATCTACTGAGGCACGTCACAATACCTTTGACTGCCGTCACAATTGAACACAATAACGTCACAATTAAAATGACGTCAAACTGCGCTAAAATGTTTCTCTGATCTTGCTTACCTGGTAGCTCTATAGACTGTGCATTGAAAGCTGGCATCTCTGTTATTTACATTTTTAACAAAAATATTTGTTCAAATTAATAAACAACTTTGGAACATAATTTATTTTAAAGTGATGAATTTCTTGGTACAGATTCAATAATTTTATCTTGTTTCATTTTCATTTGTGAGTTTAAAAAAACAAACACTGAAACCAAAAGTAAACGATTTTAGTCTTTCTCCTTGAACATATTGAAGTGTTTATACACACTCTTTTTATTGCGGACTTAAATATGCATGGATTGTCTTCAGTTTTTAAAATATTTAGTAAGTCTATGAATCATTTAAATGCAAACCCGAAATATTTTATTTTTCTATATATTACATGATATTAGAAAATATCGTAATTTTTTCGCCTTACCCCCCCCCCTCCTCCCTCTACCCCTTTTTCCCACATAAAATAACGTCGCTTGTTAAGAGAAAAATAAAGAATGAAGAGTAAATGATTTCATAATGTAAGAATTATTTACTTTTTAGAAACTAATACAGTATTGCAATCGTTTGCTGGTGTTATGTAAATCCATTGCGACTTATAAAATAATTATACACTGAATTGACGACGGATTTTTTCCGTTATTTCCTGATCATGACAACGAGCACACGGCGGGTGTGACCGGTCGGCAGGGGATGCTGACCCCTCCATGGCACCTGATCCCACCTCTGATGTTTCGGAGGTCCGTGTTTACTCTGCTCTTATTTTGTATATTGTTTACTGAACTTTGAGATTGAATACTGTTCGTTATCTCCATATCCTTCTTGGGAAGAATATATCTAAATTTTGTGTTTTGACATGCCCCCTTTTCACTGCAATAAAGGCTACCTCCAATTTTCTTTTTATATTTTATAAGAAAACTGAAAATTGCATGATATATGTGAAAAAAAGGAATTTCATCATGTATTTTTTTATTTCAAAATTTCTTTGTTTATTGGAGAGTTTTAGTATGTAATTGTGAATAAAAACACGACAAATGGTCCATATATTGACAGTGGCCCAATTTGACTACAATAAAGGCAAGGTAACAAAATTTCATTCTAATTTTTCTAAGCATAAATCATACAAATATATTTCCAAGAATTAAAATTTTTATCATTCCGTTTTCGTAATTTTCAACTAGGTCGGGCCTCGTTAAGCCTTTATGCCTTTAGCATTTGAAAAACGTCTACTTCCAGGTTGAAGTGTTTAAGGGAGAGAAAAATAATGCCTTAAAATGTGCTCACAATACACTTTTTACATAGACCGTGATAATTTTAAGAAATGTTATCTTATAGTCTCTTTTCAAGCCTTCTATATAAACCTTAATGTATTCTTCATGCAGTAAAAGCATTGAATTACGCATGGTCGACAAGATTCAGTTTAGGATTCATAACATTCTAGTAATTGTACCTTTGTTCATGATTTGATGTTCACAAATATTCCATTTATAATTTCCAAAATTACTTCAACTCTCTTCACTCCTTTCTGCTTTGAGTTTGAAAAAAATAATTAAAAAGTCAGTTATAAAGTGGACATTTTGAAAGGTAAAATACTCAGCCGATTCATTTTGTAAATAATGGTCTATAACAATAAGTATGTAAAAAGTCAGTTATCATTTGATTTCATGATAGATTCTATTTGCTGACAAGGTTAGTGTATCGATCACAGAATTTGCAACATGAAGGCTTTAAACGAGACTGTTGATATCCTTGTTTCATGGACTTCTTTGTCAATGACTTTATTCTAAAATTTCTCATACATGTATGTAGAGCATTTTCTTGCGTATCGATCAACTGAGGGACACTAACCCCATATGCATGTAATAATGATATATTGTTACATATGATATATTGCTATTGCTATTATAGGTAGAGGAAGTTGACGATTGAAAAGTTAAAGTTATCACGTTTATCATAAGACGTTATTGTTAGCTTATCATTAACGTCTTTGCGTAATAAAATATCCAAATAATAACAGATGTGTCAGTGTCTGTGTATCTTTTATTTCTCTCATATAAATATTTTTTGTCTTGCAAATTTTGCTTCATATCAATACAAAATACCTGGTAGGTTTAGATTTGCTTATAATTGAACAAAATTGATACTTATGGCAATTTCGATAGATTGCTAGAAGACCTGATCTTCAAAATCAACATAGACATTGACAATCAGAAACTCACTCTCTTCTGCGTATTTGTGTGTACAATCAGAGTGATTTTTACAAATAAATTTGAAACTAACCAATGACAATATTATTTTATCTAAGAGTTCCATTTGAATTGGAAAGCAGATGTAATCGAAAACAATCTATCAGACAGATCTGTACTTATTCAGGTACATGTTTTTTATATATTGCATTCAGTCTTTAATATCTAACTTTCAAAATATTTCTCTCTAATTTCTCCTAATGAATAAGAAAAATGACAATATCTCATGAATTAGCATAGTTTGCTGCTGAATTGGTGAGAACTGGGTATTTTATTTAAATGATAGTTCACTGAAGTAAAGTTGAGGCAAGTGAAAAAAATGTTTAAATATAACATATGAATTTCATTTTTTAAGTTGATGAGGAACATGAACTACAAAGCTTTTCATGAAATATGCAGGCGTGAAGTTCATCTTCTCTGGTCTTTTCAATACTGAAATTTCTTAATTGACGAGTGAGTCCTTAGCTTAACATTATTTATGCACACGTTCTGCACATTATGCTTCGTCGCAAACCGAATCAACTTGCCAAGACTAGATGACATTTAAAAATCTATATCCATAGTATTTTTCACTAAACACTTGTTCTTAAAAGTTCCTCGAAGTCTGGCAAATGCCCTTCTTCCACTGAGGACAGATTGAAATCTATTAAAACTTTCGGATATGCACTGGACACAAAGAGGCAAAACATAATCTGATTTATTAAACTAGAAAACCGGAAAACCTTGTAATGGGTATTCCTTCGCTGTAATGATTTGACCCACTTTGACACCTTGCCCACACTCTGTCTCCTTGTTTGAGATTCAGTGTCACCATATTGGATCCAGAATCGTAAAAATCTTTACGCCGCCCCCCGTCAGACATTGTCATCACCTTTGCTCCTCCGTTATGTGCAATAGATACATACAATGTGTCACTGCTATACCCTGGGCACTGATATAGAAGTCATACTGTCCGGCCGTGGGGGCGGTAAAGATCCCTGTACCTGGGTCGTATCCACCTCCAACGTTATTGATGACCACAGGAAATACTAGTGTACTTCCGCTTCCGGTAACTCCATGACCAGCTGTAAAGGCAACCTTCTTGGACGAGTCTAAAAGAATGTAATAATGTTGGTGTAGTTTTCGTATAGCGAAATTAGTATGATAGAAAAAAAATTCCTATAGCTGACTTCATAGAAGAAATATCATTATACTATTGTTTATAAGAAACACGAGATAATATCTTTCAAGCGAATTTCATGTTGAAGAGTTGTTCAATAAGATATGATTCCTTCAATAGGACCCCTGATTTATAGAAATTGATGCATACATTAACACAATCTTTCTATCATTTCAAATTTTTTATTATATTGCATTTATCTCAAAAAAAAATTTACTGATGGATATTCATTTTCATTGATGACAAGCTTAAGTAACATTTTATGCTGACTACCGTATATACTCGCCTATAAGTCGGTTATATTTTTTAGGTTATTTTGGAGGTGTTTGCCATTAGCCCGTTTATAAGTCGGTACAACTTTTTGCCAGAATAAGTTGACATTTTTAAATCAATACATAGATGTTTTAGCCTGGTTTCAATTTATACCTTATTTAACTCGCTCAAAAGTCGGACATAGACTTTGAAGCAAAATTTAACAAAAATAAATTGACTTATAGGCTAGTACGAGGGTTTATCAAAACGTTCGTGGGCTGAGCCTACAAAATTAATACTATGTATAGTCTGTGCTTTCAAATTTATAAGGAACATAAAACAATTAAACAAAAGAAGAAATGTTGAAATTTTGAGCGTGATATGTTCATTATTTGCCAAATTATCATGAAATAAAAACGACATGATATGATCACCTAGTGCCATCGCCGTTTAGTTTCAACATTGTTGTTCAATGTCCACTTATTTTAATGAGATTCCCCAGAGATAAATAAGGACTTATATCCATCTTTTTATATGATTTTACAATGTCATGAACAGCGGCTTTCAATATAATATAATATTGCAAATGAATTTATACATTGGGAGAGATCATCGCTTGATTGTGTAAACACATTTTGCTGTTTGGAGATTAATTTCTACAAAACATTTTTTGACGTGATTGATTTTTCACATCTTGACTACAAATCAAAATTACTTGTGCATCCCTTTTCTCCCTGACTCTCTTTTGGCATTAAAAAACAAGTAGTCTGGATGTATTTTATTTCTCCGTAACCAGTTAAAACATTTACTAATTTTTGTGATGTAATAAAAATATTATTAATTTTGTTCTTTCTCAGTTATTGTTTTATATTTACTGATTGAGCCATAATTTTTCATATAAAGTAATTGATAATATAGTATTTATTTATTAAATCTTACGTGAGCACTGAGCACTGAACAAATCATATGTTGCCCTCATACCGAGTCAATAACTGTATATTACCTTGGGGATTATCCGTATCATCGTGCCATCACTTCATCGACTTCGCGCCATCGCACCATCGCTTCATCGTTATGGCATTATTGTGTCATCGCATTATTGACCCAAACCTCGATTGTGCGATGATGCGATCGTGATATATGTGACCCTATCCAGATTCCATACATTACCCTTGTTTGCCAATACTGCAACCAAAAGTGTGCGGTGGGGGGGGGGGGACAACTGGACTTTTAATGAACCTTTCCTGTAGAAAAACTTAAGTCTAGAAAAATAAGTGGGGGAGGCCATGTAAAGATAGTTTTTACAATGTTTACCGGCATTTTTTTTTAATCAAGGTTTGCAAAATAATATGATAAACAGCAGCATTTTCTGGCCAACCGAAGGGGTTTGACATGCTACTGTCTCTGTTTCACAATGGTGGTAAATTTGCTGTATGACCCTGTGTTAGTATCGACCCTTATTTGGAGAAGCTGTCTGTCCCTTCCTGACTATGCACAGGGTTTCAAATAAATTTGAAAATGTTTCCTCAATGTTTTTCTGTCATCATTTACCTGTTTACCTGACCTAATGATCAACATTATTCCTGTAAATCCAATTTTCCGTACTTTCTTTTTAATAGTTTAATAGTATATTATGCAAAGCAGAACACGGAAAAACAATAGGTATTCTGACTTCTGACTACGTCGATTTTTATTATCATCATCATCTTTTCTTCTTGATTTTATTTTCCTTGCTGTTTTCTAGAGAGAAGTCATGTTTCGTTGTCAGTTTGCCATACAGGTTTTTAAGTTTTTCTATAGTAAAACACGAAACATGAAACAAATGCCAAACCCTGATGTATTTCATTTCAGACCTCAATGAGAGGAATTTTATACATCTCGGCCCAATGACACCTCTTTTTCATGACAGGACCGGCCAAGATTTAAAGTTTGTCAAAACGCTCGGCCCAAGTAAAATATTATATATGTACAATCCCCGATGTCACTTTTATCAATGATCTCTAATTCTAATTGGTGCTGTGTCAAATTTTGTTTCTCAGTTATTTTAATCAATGAATAAAAGAATTGAAAGAAATCTTTATTGCAAGCAAGACAGTATACAAATAATTTTAGCTCTCAAGTGTTATTTGGCGACTGAAACTTACAAAAGCTAAGTATCAAATAGTTAATCCAAGAGACACATAAAAAGAATAAATTTCCAAAATATGTATGAGAAATGAACTAATATTCTACAAAAGCAAAATTAGTTGAATTAACAACAAAGTTGTTTAAGGACGTTCGATCCTAAGCTTTTGAGTGGATTTTGGTCATGTCCTTTATCTATAAAATTCTGCATCATTTTTACGTTCTCACATTATATCTGAATTCTACAATGCAAATTGAACTATATTCATTGAAAATGAACTGTAGCGCCAAAAGAAGCATATTAACCCTTGTTTTTCGATTTGAATTTTAATTAAGCTATGTATGTAGAAAGTGTTAAAATGTTTATGCTAGTCTTAAAAGTGAAACAAATACCAATTGGTCTCAAATAAAAGATTAAAACTTCTGTTTTTAGTTTTGTAATATTTTAAAACATGATATCTGAACTGATCAGCTTTAACCAATTCCTTCTGAAGACATCTCCAAAATAAATTTCAAATAAAACTTTTTTCTTTACTTTTCACCTTATCTTTATCACGTAGATAGTTTCTTTTCCAAACTTAATAGTTAAATGTAAAATCAAATGTCAAATGAATCATGAAGATTATCAATAGTTTAAAAGAATACTATGAATTTCATGGGGATTTAAATTTTGTGATTTTCGAGTCATTAAGAGACCCACGAATGTATGTGCTACAAGAAATATAATTCACAGATATTACTAATCAACAATTTTTCATCCTGGAAATTAAATTCCCACGCACCCATATTTTCCATTAAACCACGAAAGTTTGGCTACAAGAAATTATACGATTTAACAGTATTCTTATTTGCAGTGATCCTTTTTCATTTAAAATGCAACAAAATCATTCATTTGTAAAGGAACATGCATAACCAATGCCTATAGCATGCAGTTTGAACTTTTCATATTTAATTAATTTTATGAAAAACCGGAGAAAGTGTAATGGACCACGTAGTAATAGCCTGAACCATGGTGATGTTTGATCCACACCGCGTCTCCCTTCTGAATAGTAGTACCACCAGATTGGGACCTCGTCGTAATAAACATCATTACTGTAACTATAAGCCATAGTTCTCACTTTTCTTGATCCATTCAACACAATGTCTACATAAATATATTGCCTATCATAACTTTGAACATTCAGGAAAAAGATAATCCCGTGGTAGGAGCAGTAAATTTGTTTCTTGGGTTGTATCCATTCCCTTCATTGGTGATGACGAAGGAATCCAGTGTTCCACTGTTCCATGATGTGCTGGTGGAGGACACTGGGCGGAGAAACCTACATTCTTTGTCTTCCCCAAAAATTTAATTGAGGTTTAAGGCCTTAATTGTTGAACTCAAGATGAAATGTGTCCAATTATTTGAAAATTTTTATAAAAAAAATTTTTCTTACAATTAAAAAAAAATAAATTTGAAGTTTCCTCCTCCTTTCTTAGGAAAATACGATTTCCTTTTTTAAAAAACATCTCTAGTCATCATCTTTTATTAAATGAACTTGAATCAAGACGAGACATGTTTTTTCTTTTCTAGCATTTTTTTTTTTTCTTTGATTACCTTGGTATAAGGATCTATTATAAAATTAAATTTTTTTAAAAAGAAAATTTGCATTTTTACTAATATTTTTGTAAGGAGTAAGAATAGGGGGTTGATTAGGCAATTGCTGCATCCTGCAAAGTATCACATTTAAAGTACTCATTTACAAAATTAAAAAAAAACATTTTTAAAAAAAAACCGAAATTAAAATACATCACCGATGTCATCGGGGTCAAAAACATTAAAATGTTTTTGTTATTTCCACGATATTAAACTACTTCAAATGAGCACTATTTCATTACGTTAATGACCGGAAACAACGAACAATTAAAAACAATAATGGATTCCTTCTGAACGTTGCGCCCAGTTCTGTAATATTAATTTCCCGTAAAATATTTTGTCATTTCAATGAACCACTTAAACCCGAGGACTCTTAACAAAGTGGAAGGTATAGACAAGGTTGTCGTACAGGCTCTACCTTGTTCCGTTGTAAATATAAACGCTTGACATGAATTGAGAATTGTTCTGGAGTTTGAAGCATTACAGCAAAATCTGGAATAAATATCTTACATCTTGATTTTGGAGAGAGTATTAATAGTGTTAACTTTTGTGTGAAATATACCCTCTAAAAGCTAGTAAACCGAAACAAATTTACATTTTTCTGAGGGATAAAGGAAAGTTAATTAACTTAAATAACAGTTGATTCCACACAGAATGAATTCAGCATTTTTTTCCAGGTTACAAATTTCACTTACCACTAACGAGACTTGAAACATTTGTCAATGATCCCTGAATAGAGGCAATTAAGGAAGATAAGTTTCCTTCCTTTGCCTTGGTCCTCTGTAACTCAGAATCAAGTCGTTGGTTTTCTGTTTTGAGATGTTCTACCTCTGCCTCCAACTGAGAAATTCTAGATCCCGTGGATTCCTTTGATGTCAACATGTCTTTCATCAGGGACTGAAAATTACTCGTCAGGGTTTGAACAGTATTCGTTAAAGACATCCGGATTATGCTCTCTTGATTAAGAAGGTGACGGAAAGTGTCTGATTCTTTAGAATCACCATCAGTCACGAAAGTCCTTGACAAGCTTCCATTCGTTTGGTCTGACAGCAATGAGAGAGCAATTAAAAATCGAATCAAGCTACAAAGTATGCACATTCTTAGTATATAAATCATATTTTCAGTCTTCTGTGTAATATCCTACCTAAATGTAGCCTGCAAAATATAAGCAAACACAAGGTTTTATATGTGTATACTTGGGGTTCTATTTATTTCACTGCTCAACAGTTGGATGAATTTGATTGGATATATGTAAAAAAGAATCCTTTTAAATTTTAAGAAGAGTTAAAATTTTTTTTGATTTGATTATGTATTAGACATACATATTCCAACATTCCTTTTAGAAAATGAGTCTGTTTATTAAAAAAAAATTACAAAATATATTTGAAATATATATGAAAGTGTCTTACGTTAGATTTAATCAGTGTATTCAATTTGTATTTTTGGAGAGCTTAATATGTTTATAGTGCCAGGTGTGGTTTTTATTTACAGTCGATTTGCAATCGTTATTTTTATTATATACCTAATGCGATCATCAAATTTACTGTTGATTTTATGCAATCACGTGACGTCGTGATCTGATTTTCCGGGATCACCACACTGTGGTTTTTTGAATCTATATCACCACTTCCAAAACTATGACGTAGTACGCAGAAATATCGTTATTTTTCTTGTGCGTTAAAAAGTCCTTTGTTTTAATGCTTTGTTTATTAAGTTAATATTATACCATTGGTCTGTAAAGAATTATTTTAATATATTTACCAGTTATAAGGGGTATATAATAAATTTATAGTTATAACAGTAACTTATCCCAATAGTAATGTAACAAATGATATATATGTATCAAAAGATTTCGGTTTAAATTCCTTTGAATTTCTTTTACTCAAAAGTGAAAATGTTTCATATTAGATACAACTTAAACTTATTGTTGTTGTAAGAGTCAGCAAATATCACTTGTGATTAAATAAAGTTCATAAACCCTCCGCTCACTCATGTAGAATGTTTCTTTTACTCTAATGATTTTCAGATGAAAAAAAATTTAAAAAATGATAGACATTTATCCATTTAAAAATTTCCTTTCTTATTAGAGTGTAAATAACCAAACCTTGAGGAAGCTCAAACAACACTGAATTTTTTTATTTGGATATTGAGAAATAAATTTAAAAGTTTGGTTTTAAATTAAATTTTTAAAGGGGTTTTCATATTTCTCCAGGAAAGATTTTTAAAAACAATGAAATAGGCAATATTCTACAGGTTTTTTCCTTTTTCTCCTTTACTTTAGAGTTTCTTTCTTCAATTTTACGTCGCCACATGGTGCAGTGGTTAGAGCGACTCTACTCTAGAGTCGCGGCGTAAGGAGTGGATCCCGGTGTGGGTTCGAATCCCAAAGTGGGGCGTAGACTGATCTTTCGGATAAAACCGAATAAACTAGGGTCTTCTGTCGCAGTAATCTGGCACAAAAAAATCCTCAATGCTTAATAGCTGTAAGTGCCTAGTATAGGGCAAAAAAATTGCAGCTATCCACCCGGGGAGTGGTGGCGTTTCCTTCAATGAAAAAAATTTAGAGGGAGTTTTGATAGTATACAAACAATCAATCTTCAATTTAACATCTCATCACACATCACACCAGGATTATAAAAACTACCGTTGGATTAGAATCATTGAACAAAACTTTTTTAATGGGATTTGAATAAAATAATAACATATGAATTAGCTGAGAGGTATCAATTGGGGTCCTTTTATGTTGATTGATATTTTTTTCTCGCATAATCACCAG